ATGCAATGAACTAACCTAAGCTAACCCCTTCTGGGATTATTATGCAGCAATTCATGTACCGATACAAGATACGTCCACATCCCCAAGCTGAAGCCCCACTTTTAACAGCGTTCAATAACCTGTTCTCGGTTCAATTGCGAATCCCAACCTGTTACAGGTTGTATGAAATCTTACATCAGCAACAAATCCCGAACATCGAATTTGCCTAACCCAGACGGTGCTTATCAGTCAACTTCAATGAAGTATCGCTAAAGTATGGAGAAACCTTCTCGTCATGAGCAGCGATCCACGATAAGGGCTGAGTTACATTGGTAGAGTAGCCTAGAGCTGAATAGTCTTCTTATTTTTCTATCTTCAGGCTACTATCATTTGCTCTACCAATGTAAGGTAGGTCCAACTGGTGGAAAAGTCCACTTTATGTAACTACCATCCACGGTTAGGCAAGTGAGTGATAGATTAGAACAAGATTCTACAGTGTAATGGTAATTCTACCGCTCGTGTTCGTTTCTATGTATCAATATTAGCTACTTCGTCACTTATTCCATCAATGGAACCCAGACTCAAGTTCTTCTCCAGGGAGTCCAGCATTCGCAGGAAGTGACGACACATCCTCGGCATTTGTCCCAGGAACCAATGAACGTGTGCAGCAAAATAGCAGCTGTCGTCCAAGTGGTATTCCCTTGTTGGTATCAAAGTTGCGATTCTCTTTGCGTGCGATCGCACGCACGCAAGAAACTACGGGGCCAGGAAGGAACGAGAGAGGCGAGCAAACAGAATCTCGAGGAGGGTAGGAGTAGGGAATGGGAAAAGAACACGGGAGCGTGAAACACGAAGGGAAAGGATGATGATGATGATGATGATGAAGAAGAAGAAGAAGAAGAACTATTGAAGAAAAGAAGAGACAAAAGAAGGAGAAAGAGGCGGTGGTTGTAGTCGGTATGGTGGTATCGCCAGATGCGCGGCACATTTTAATTAACGTCCAGACATCCTCCGAGACGGGTGACCCCGAACTCAGGGCCATCCGATGACCCTTTTCCCAGCTATCTCTCTGTCTCTGTCTTTCTCTCTCTTGTTCTCGAGCTTTTGAGTCCTGGGGAACGGATAACAGGAAGCGGTCTCCCCCTTTTCGCCTCGAAGAATAAGATCCGGCGGGCTGGCTTCGCGATAATACCGTGATAACTTTTAACGCGTCTCTTCCTGAACGCGAATGTCGAATGTCAAACGATGCTGTTTAACGAATTGAACTGAATGTATTCGAATGGGCCAATTGACATTTTGACATTGCGAGGTATGTACACACAAGAGGACGATGTTGTTTGCATTGAAATCAAACGATTGCTTTCAAGCATAACAAGACAGTATATGCTTTTGTTTAAAAAAAGACATGCAAATAAATACACTTTCTATTTCAAATGAAACTGCATATTTCTCTACGTTTTGTGTAAAAGAGTATTAGAGTACCGTGTCAAAATATATTTTACTTTTAAGCCTAGTGTTCTTTAGATAAAGAATACAATATGTTAATAATTAACAAGATAACGGGGCACAGTTTGTTTCGAAGTAAATGCGTTCAAATTGGAGTAACATGTTTAGTAACCTGAGGAAACACAGTATTATCAAGCATTTTTGCGGTAAACGCTTGCACAACGAAGCGAGCGATAAATATGAGTAAACATGATACATACGTCGTGTGAGGAAATATGAAATATGCTGAAACTAAATTCATGTGCAAAAATAAATCGCTAATCGTTACTTCGAATGTCACTACTCTAAACAATATTTACGCTTACACTACTGAAAGTGCAGTACGTGTTATACATAGGGAACCTGTCCTCCCTCAAATATAGACTAACCCCACCACCTACCCTCCATAAAAAATTATTGAAATAGGTAAAAAGACGAAGTATTCTTTAGTACATAAGAAGAAATAAATATAACAGCAAGTGCAAAGTTTAAATTGCTAAATGATACGGTTGCATTCTGAATAACTACAATTACGTCTATTTTCACAGTAGAATTTAACGTGTTAACTAAAGAAAAAGAGTACGTCCGTCCCTGTGATTGTACGACGTCGTAGTTGCACGTTGGATTACGCTGTCGGCGAGTCATTCATAAAAATAACGCAACCGGCGCACGCAGGTTACTACTGCTACGAGGCGCATTCAGAGCTCGTCACGGTCGTACTACGATGCAAGTACGTTGACGTAAAACGTACTCGCACACGTACGAGATCGTAAAGAAACGACACGAGGATACATTCGCGTGGCTATTGTACAGCTAGGCGAGCGTAACGTGGCACGAAAAAATGGAAGACGAGAAAGTAGAGTTGATACAGCTCGAATCAGACCGAACTAGAGCACTGCTGACACGATGACAAAACTTCTGAACACTTTTCTACATCTTCCAACACTCATTATGCGTTTTCTAAAAGGTTTCGTGGAATGATTACGAAGTTACGCTCTTTTCCTTAATTTCTGAGAAAATTTGTTTAAAAAAATAAAAAATATTTATATTCTGTAATGTAAAATATAGCTTGTGTGATAGAATGCCAATAGTGGTTCATTCATTTACTTTGTGAGTTGAAAAAGATAATCTGTATGCGACTTTTCATAAGTATTTCTTTTCAAAAAATAGTCTGATTTATCTCATAGTAATACTACTGATTAATAGTTGTTCTTCATAAACGTATGGAATAAACGTTGATTTAGGTTTACTGTTGAATATAAGTAGCTTCATATTAAGTGCAGATTTTATATTAAATAATTTAGTAATTGTGTGTAAATTTTACCGGTCAACAATGAAACACGTCCATCTATTAAGCACATTTTTCAGCTAATCCCTTTTGACATCCGAATCCCATGTTACCCAAATAAAAGATTATCCTATATATCTATCACCTTCCTAAATCACTTCCTTAAATCTTCACCCTAATTCATGAATTTATACTCTAGAAGATCCAACACGTGGCTCTCTGAACAAAGAAAGAAAAAATCTCCAATTACACTGTTCAATAAATTTTGCAATTTCTTTTAAATAAACATTTTTATAAAGAAAATGATTAAACTCTAAAAATACAGATATACATATAGTAACTTCAAAATTACATGGCATTATAGAGGGTCAAGAATGATTATAATAATTACTGTCATTAATGGAATCGAAGTGACATTTCAAAATTTTCTTCTTTCATTTTCCAATTATTGGACCAAACATAATTCCTATCACCGATTATCGATAACGCCCTATGGCAGCCAATGTGTTAATGACGTATCACGATTCTATCGGAGGCAGCGTTAAAGGCCAATAACGGGAAAAGCAAATCGGTATCACCTCTCACTCTCCAGCGATGGTGGTGTGCGTGAATGGTCGCGGATAACCGTTGGAAGGAAGGTCTTTCCAACAGGACAGAAAAATCCTGCATTCCAGTGCGGCTGTTCGCGAAACGCAACCAGCGATCCGTGGACGAACGGCGTTAGTCGTGCTCCGTTACTTAACGACTGTCTCTTTCAGGGAAAGTTACAGAGTTTTGCCTCAACGCTTGTCTAAGATGAATAGGGCAAAAGGAATCGGTTCTCGGACCCTGATGGCCTGTTCGAAACCAAAAATCTATTGCGATTTCTATTTCCATTTCACCTACATAAATATCGAAGAAATAGACAACTGCTTTAACAGAGCAAAATAATTGTTTTACAATAATCATAAACTGCTATCAATTTGTCAGTTGAACTTCTGTGATTATATCTAAGTTCTAAGTCTATCTGTTCTCTATACAAATTCCACAACGATAAGCGAACTAAAATTACCACGACGGTATTTCATCTAACAGCGAATGAGAAGTGGAATAAGAATGCAACGATTGTTACTCAACAGCCCTCTCAGGGAAAGTTCGGATTTGCTCTAGACTAGGTGAAAGAAATTCTCGAATGGTTGTTAGAACCGCAACAGACAAGGCCGATGGATCGACTTCCGATTTCGAAACCGCGGCCCGACCTGGTATCTAGAATAGTATGGTGGTTTCTAGCGTTCAGTTATTCGTGTCAATGAATTCTGTAAATTTTAACTCCGTAACCGTTCCCGATCAATAAGTAAGTATTGTGTAATCGTTGCTGGATCTCTGTAACGTCGATCAAGACCTCCAGGTTTCAAATTTTCAGACTCCTATATCTTCATTTGGAACATGGAACAAAGTATTAATGATAACACGAGCACGTACTAATGGTACAGACGATTGACTAAATACAACGAAGCACGACGATAAATATTATCGTTTACGAAAGAATATAAACTTTATAAAAACGTAGTACGTTTATTTTTAATTCATGCACAACCTTCAAATGTTCCAGTTGATATAAAGTTTTTCTCACCGTATTGTAAAAAGAGATTTGTCCTGCAAGTGTATTCATAAAAATATTATACGTTTGTGAAATGATATTCATTACCAATTTGACGTAGAAATTATAGTCAATCAAAAGCTCAAATTTTTTTTTTTTTTTTTTCGTGAATACTAAAAACTTTTGTGATGAAGTAATTAATTAATTATCTGAACCTAAAGATTACAGGATCTTATGATGAGCACACAGGAAACATTATTCAAGATACATCACACTGTGAGTCACGTTGATAGAAAATTACAATTCATCATGTTGAAAACATAATTACATCCATATCTAAAGCCGACTCGATTATGTAAATTTCTATTTATCGTTGCGGTTACGTTTTTCTGATAGATTTATGTTATTTTCAGCTTACTTCGCTCGTTTGCCAATATACGTTAGCTAGTTTGCTGGAATATTTATGTAGTAATTTTCATAAAACTTTAACAGAAGTACTATTTTGCGGCAGTTTTATGTCATCAAATCATGTTAAACTCTATGTTTTAAGACCTGCGATTTCATAATTCTATAACCCGATAATTCTTTATAGAAATTAGAACCTTACGTTTTAATAAAGGATACAAATTTCAAACATTATTAGAATGAACAAAATTATAATCCACTTACCGTATCGCAACGGAGCCACAATATGACAGAGTTGGGATGCCTCAAGGGACCTCCTAAGCCGCAACCACCAGCAGTTCGTTGAGCTTTCAAGAGTTCAGAATGCTGCACACCGTACTGCTCGAATACTTCCAGAGATCTGAAATCAAATAGCTCATATGAAACTATTAAATTAGAACCTAAGGAAAGTCTGGAGGGAGTTTAGAAAGGGACTAGGGAAAGGTTAGGTAGAGCTTAGGGAAAATCTAGAAAAAGCTTAGAGAAAATATTTTTAAAATTTTTAGTATAGGCTGCTGTAACTTGTGTATTTGATTGTCCAGAAATCTTAATTTTCACTCTGGTGGTTCTTATTGCTCCTCAAACAGATATCGCGAATTGCAGTTACTTAAGATACAATGGTTTCATTTTACAATTTATACTTTTCATTCAAAAGTAAGCACACCACTTGTGCAGGTATAAATTTCAAGAAATCAACCATAAAATTTGTCGTTTAGCATCGTAACATTGCAATTATGAACGCTTATTATGCAACATGCCCATTTCCGTCGCGATACCATGATGAGCACTCAACGAAATATGATCGGCTATAGGAATCCGCTACCGACGGAGAAATGGAGACGTGGGTATCAGAATTTTTCGAAAGTGTCCCTTCTGTGGCTGCGTGGGTCTTCGTTGTCTGTGGTTTCAGTCATCGATGGAACCGAGATATTCCATGATCCATGTCGAAAATAATATCATGACTCGATGTGTATGCATCCTCGTTTCGCGTTGCATGTTGCGCTCAATATCATTTTTTTTTTTTCCTAACCGATGTCTGTGGCTTTAATAATTGTAAGGAAGTCCACTTTGACCCAAGGTAATCTTCCGGAATAACATGTTACATTGGAACCCAAATAAGTGAAAAAAAAAGAAAATAAGGAATTAATGAGTTTCAAATATAGGTATTACTTGAAATTTACATTCTAATTTCTTCTATTTAATTTTATTCTATTTACTCTACAGTTTAATGAAATTTAATTTGGATATTGAAGACGTCTCTTCTGTTTCATAGATAAATATTTGCCACGGGGATATTCGATGAATTCAAAGAACAAGCTGCGCTTATTTCTGGAATTTACACAGCGGCTGTGCCCGTCTGTAATCGTAGGTTTTACAGTCTAAACATCCAGTACAGTAACCCGATAATTAATCCAATGCCATCGTCAAATGGCAATGATTACTTGGTCAAAGCTAACTGCTTGCCACGATACTTCGCAAAGGGAACGTAAATTTCGAAGATGAAATTCTTCTTTTAACGTATCGCGACGTAAAAAAATGTTTCTCGTCTAGACAGAGAAAATTTATAAACACCAAAATGTAATCTAATCGATTAGATGAATTCTAAAAATGTATGTGTGTATAGAGGGTAATCAGAGGGTATTGTATATTAATATATAATATATATATCGATATTTCGTTTATATCTGCATATTCCGGATGTGTAAGAGTAAACTGTCACGGTTACATCCTGTTGGTTCATCGGCCGAATTATTAGATCGACCCGTAAATAACCTAATCGAGCGTACAGAGTTCAACGATGAAAGAAATACACAGATGTCAAAATGAAGAAAGATAGAAAATTTCTTATTACATCGTTCCTTTGGCTAATTGAAGTGAACAGTTGTGAAACAGGGAGCAGATACCATCGATATCTCGCGACATCGCGACTTTATCGTTCCTTTTGACCCCTTATCTCGATATTATGATCCCTACTCTTGCTCAAGGGTACCCTGTATCTTATTTTTTTTTTTCTCCTCGTCTGTTCTCTTTTATACGAACTCCTGCACTTATTTCGCCTTGTACCGAGAATCAGTTATCGTTTTTTGGCTGACCAGCTTAGCTTCGTACAAATATAACTTCTAACCAACAAAAAACGAGACCTTGGAATGGATAAACTTTTAACAACGATAACGAGATATCTTTGCATTCAACTGTACTTTTATGTCGAAAAAAAAATATATCATATACACTATTGTATTAGAACATAATTGAAATTTAACAAATAGCAATTTTTAATAGAAATAAACAATATTCGAATGAAGAATTCTTTAACCCTTTCCGTACAGTCATGCACTGCTGATTTCCATTCTGAATACAAATGAAATAATTTTATTTGAAATAATAAATTTTTCATCATAAGTATCTGAGAACGATTGCGATGATTCAAAGCAAAATACTCAATAAAGATTCTTAAGATATAGCTTTGCAAATATAACGTTTAATTGGTGATTGTTACGGAAAGAGTAACATCTGCAGAAATAAAAGTTAACACTGAATTAATATGCTTAAAAATGTTCAATGCTTTCTAAAACAACATACGAAATAAAATCCCTGAATGCTTATAATAAAACATGTCAAACATGAAGAACAGATATCAATGTATAATGAAAGCAATTTATTCGTGCTTTCAATGTGACACACATTTTGAATATTTTATAGATTTACCTTGAAAATTAAAAATAGCTATAAATCATTTAGCGTGAATAAATCATGTGATTCATTTTTTGGTATTTAAAAAGTTTCTTCATTAACACTGTATCAAGCAGACAATAGTTAAAATTTTCTAATCAAAACGATATCTAAAAATTCTTTTTTTATAGAAACGATCTAACAAGGGGAACTACCCAAGTATTACACTCACTTATTAATGAAACTTTGCCAGCTTGTAGAGCTTGTCGAGCTGAACACGCCTATACCCCGTTTTGTGGGCAGATGATTAATTGTTTAAAAGATATTAATAATTAAAGTTAGTTACTACTTACATTGAGAAGTATGACAGACTCACACATACAACTTGCAATCTAGAGATCCACGGTTCAAATCCTTGATTCCCAACATTTTTTTTTATTTTTTAAATGATAATTTGTCTCTTTTTCAATAACTATTACATAAAAATTATCATTAAAAAAAAAAAAAGATGTTGGGAACCAAGGATTTGAACCGTGGATCTCTAGATTGCGAATTGTATGTGTGAGTTTGTCATACTTCAGAATGTAAGGAGTAACTAATTGTAATTGTTAATATCTTTTAAACAATTAGCCGTCTGCCCCCAAAAGAGGGTATAGGCGTGTTCAGCTCGACGAGCTCTACAAGCTGGCAAAGTTTCATTAATAAGTGAGTGTAACACTTGGGTAATTCTCCTTGGAAGTGAGACCCTTAAACCAAAAGTTTATTCTGGATGTCATAAACGTGTTTAAAGGTGAGGAGGTTAATAACACTAGGAAACTTATCATTGTCAACTTATTACGACACAAAACTTTTTATTAAAATTTAACGATTTCAGAAAAAAGCGATCAGTTCTTAAATATCGATCCCTAAGAAATATTGGACGAAGATTATTCCAATGCAAAATTAATAACTCTGAAAAAATAATCTAAAGTATTCAGCACAAAATAGTTCCCTTGGAAAAAAAAATTTATCAGAATAATAAAGCAAAGTCTTTTATTATACAACATGATTTCTACTTTTTGCAACATGAGGGTGTCATTTATTTTCTTGGTCGTTTCTTAAACCAATTCATATCTTATCTGAATTCTTTGCATTTGTTAAATAATTTGGAATATAAAAAACGTCTTTATTGAATAAATGTATAAATTACAAGCTGAATGTTTGCGAAGGTGGATAATGCAATCGTCTGAATTGAGCTCGTAATCGATGTTGACATTTTTCAAGGCACATTACCATAATTATGGCACATTCGATTGTTTATTGTCTAAATTAAATACATATGTCAAGTATTCAAGTGTTTCAATCTTATCGCACTTGCAGTTATTTAAGCCAAAAGAATATTGTATCATTAAGTGAAATAATATAATGTTATCTCCACGTGGTCGAATGATCTTATTTAATTTTTGTACCATTTTCACTCCCCCTTTCGCTTATCTCTCTTTACCAATTGTCATAACATACTTTGCATTTCTTTTATTTATCATTCGCGAAATATATGTACATTTCTTTTTTTTTTTTTTTTCATTTTGTTACCCTAGAAAATAAAAAGCGTCGTGTATAGTATTGTTAGCAAACGAAATTTACATATTATCTACTAACATTAAAAATAATGCAACATGTAGTGGAAGTATATAAATTTATTTTACTCAATACAAGCTTTCTACAAGTGTGTAAATTTGAAAATATGATAAACTTTTTATCATATCAAGGTGTAAATTGGCAAACATCTGGCACAACTTGTTAGTAATTTCAATTAACCTTTGTTTTACATTTGTCCAGACGTTCGGTGGTACTAATGTACATTACAGTATTGCAATTAGAATCAGCAAGTAATTTTGTACTTATGAGCTGTTATTTATTATCACCTGTATAGGTATTCAACTGTTACTGTCTAGAAATTAAAAGAAAAAACACTGCACCTGGCAACAGCAATAATTCACAAGCATATTATAATTAGTTAATGTTGCCATAATTAGTGGATACAATCCTTTCATAATTATGTCTAGTTATTTCATACTAGCCTCTCTTTGCAATCCATTCTTGTTAATTGTATAATGAATCTACTGGAAAGTCATGAATAAACGTTTCGTAAAACCTCGTGTATGTATATTTCGTTTTTGCATCAATTAGTTTATAATGTTTTATTTAGAAACCTGACGCAACTATTGGTTCTATCGTCGTTTTCCTTAGGGACGTAAACCTACCGTGCTTGGTACTGCACAGTGCATGACACAATGACACAAATGCCACAGGAATCAAAATCATATCAAATTCAATGTCATGACAATACGGTATCTGATTTCTACCATAACAAAAGTCATGACATTTAGTGTCACGACAGCTTATAATTTTATTTGCCAAATCAATTAACTCCATAAGATGAAAAGTAGAGAAATTGTGTAAGATGTAACAATTTTTTTAATTCCAAAAAAAAAAAAGAAATATACACATCGAATCGAGTATCCTCCTCCTTTTCGAAGTCGGATAAAAATGAAGTTAATCACTTTGGCCTGTGAACGGGTCATTTATCGTAAAGCCAAGGATAAATTTAATGTAAAATTACAAGATTGTTGTCAATGAGAAAACTACCCACGGTACGAATTTTTATTTCTTTCCTGTAATTTTTCTACCTTGTTTAAAATTTCTTCAATC